GGGGATCGCAGCCAGACTTCTGAAGCTATCGGCCCAGTAACTACAACAACTGACGAAGGAGGTGACTGTCTTAAATTTACAGTGTGACACACACTAGAATTTTACCAAGAAAGTTGTGAAATAGTACTCATTACTACCTAAGTGTTGATTAGGAAAAAGAACATTGTTATTTTCACTAGTGAAAATATCAACTTTACAAATTGGAGAAATATAGGTATTTCATAGATAATTATATGATAAAAATGCAAGACATCTATGAGTATAGAAGGCAATGGAAATAGTTTGAAATATCACAAGTTTTGCCTTAATTTCTGAATATTTTACACACAATTAAGGCTAACACAGTGTAAAAGAGATTGCAAAACTAAATGATTAGCACCCTATGGGACATACATAYACAATAGTGCAGTTATATCATTGATTTATTCTTCTTAGAACCCAAGCAAGGACCAAGTATCTCTGGAATTAATAATATMGTACATGATAATGATAATACAGTTAGAGATGTAGCATTACAATGGGAGGTAAGTCAACATGTTGGGATCCCTGTGTTTCAAGCACAGKGATCCCATCTTATTATTCTTCAATGTGACTTTAAGTTCAAGGAGCCAATGGTGTCAAGTTGGCAAGGGAAACCTGCTAACATCACTGTGCACTACAGAAACATAGCAAAGCAGTCTACGTATGAAAAAATAACCTTRCCAGCCAGTCAAGAGGTACCAAGAAATGTGACTCTGACAGGACTCAAYTCTGATAATGACTATCAGGCTTATACGACACTGTGTAATACAAAACATTGTGGAGGAATGGGGCCRCAGACTTTGGTGAAATCATTAGCTGGTCCAGGTGTGTCATTGTACTAAGTATACTGATTATAATTATTTTAAATTGACCAGTGTTAAACATGTGAGCCTAAATAACAAGTAAAGTGTCTCCGCTTTAATGTAAGCCTTGTTTCTAAAGCATGATTTTTACAATGTGTTCAGATATTGGCAATCCCAGCAATTCTTGCAATTATATGCATACAAGAAAATATAAGTAGATGAAATAGAACAAAACACCAACTTGAAGCTATAATAACTCTGTTTATTGGACGTTTCGGCACTTCGACCTTCTTCAGCAAACAAGAAAATATATCCATTTGGCAAATAAAACCAGATATTACGCAGGCTACTTTGAGTAGCCTGCGTAACATCTGGTTTTATTTGCCAAATGGCTGTAACGCAGGCTACATCATGCATAGGATTATTAATTGCCTAATGAAAAGCCTCAATTGATGTTTTTATTTTGAGCAATAGATCCATCCAATGAGAAAAATACAGGAGAAAATGATCATCTTGCACTGGCTGTGAGTTTGGGTGTTTGTGGACTAGTACTTCTAATCATTGTTGCAGTTGGAATGATCATCAAGTATCGCAATAGAAGGTCAGTCTTTACGACTTTACAACTTTCATGATTCATGATTTCTGAATCATTAAAACTATCCATATGGGTCTAATAATCACGAAGCAACAGATTTCAAGAAGATATTGATACAAATCATTAATAATTTGGGCAAAACATGTTGGAGTAGATGACGTCATTTACTCCATCCTTTTGTTCTTCCATCTTTTGAATCAAAATTTCTCTGATGTGGGACAATTCCAAAACAAATATTTTCCCGCAATTGTTTTTAATAGATATATTATGAGAGTCATATATTTGTATTGCTTGAAGTTTTGAAATAAGACCATTTTCATGCAAGTAATGCTTTAATTTCAAATAATATTTTTGAATCAAAAGACACATGTAGGATTCCACATTTGAATGTTTGTCAGTCTAAACACAACCCAAAATATGCAGCTGTTACCTGGCACCTTTTTAAAAATTATCAGTACTAAGTAAACAGGAAATTTTGTTAGTTATTACATTACATTATATTTATTGAATAATTTCCTAATATACGTACTCAAACTGTGAACTTTTGATATTTTTATACTAGTTTTCTCTTTCATTATCGCCCTCGCCTCGAATAGTCTTGGACTAACTGCGAGGGCAAACTTCAAATATAAGGATAATTAATAAATAAAACTGTTACTGTTACTGTTACGAACATAATATTAACTTATTGACAGTACAAGAACTGGAGCTCAACCACTGCATGAAATAGTACCACCAGATCAGCTTGTAAGTACAAAAACTTACTATTTCTTTTAATAGACATTTTTAAACCAGATGCTTTTATTAGGAGATTTAATCACTAATATTACCATTTTTTCCCTTTTTTCAGCATCCACATCATGGTAATGATTATGAGTACCTGGCTGACAAAGTTACTRTGAATGAATATACTTCAGCCAATCAATTGTAACAAAATCAAAATATATTTTTGTATAATTGACATAATGGTAAGGATAAAATTTAATTATAAAATGGTTTGATAAAAAATGAAAAGAAACAAAACTATAATAACACATAATAATTACATTTACATGAAGTCTCTATTTCCATTGTTTTCTTTTGTTTTTGTCATCCTAGATATCTCAACTATAATGATCATTCACTTAATTTTTATATGCAAAATATCAAAGTATGTACTTGCAAAAAATTAAAGATCAAAAATACAAAAAAAAATGTAAGAATGCAGTCACCATACACAAATATTTGCACTTGAAATAAAATCTATATTTATTGATAACATTATTGTATTGCTTGTGTTGTTAGGGAGGTGTTAAAAGATAGTTTTATACTGGTATATAAATAATATTGCACAATTATTGCTTGATAAATATTTTATTGAAGAAATGTCTTTGTTTCTTTACAAGATATTAGTCATATTAGTACTGTATATTCCCATGYGGTAGAGTTGACACACTAAACAATACTTTATGAATTACTACCTACTGTTAGTAATGTTGATTAGATAAGTGAAAGTCATTAAACCTGGTGTGTAATTAGGTGTATTAGTGCAATATCTCTTTCWCAGGTGTTTCTGAATCCACTCTTCTAATCAAAGGAAAGTATTTTTATTTTCAGATTGTGTGTAAAATCTTATATACCCAGATTCCAAAGCTCCTTTCTTCCCTCTATGATTTATTAGACTGCACAAAGTACCAGTTTTGAACTATGGCCATTTCTTGCACTGGGATCCCTGTTCCTCTTCTGGAGGAGAGGCACTGGGA